GTTATAACATTTACTTTAAGTAAACATTTTAATATACTATACTCGTACATTTGTCATAAGTACCTAAATTAAGTAATAATTTAATCATACAATCCGTATGATCTTACCAACTCGTGTTCATTTTAATTTAATATAACGAATTTGCCTACTTATTTAAACAGAAAGGAGTACAAGTTTCATTTACCTAACGAAATGTCTAAGCTAAAAATTCTCACCGTAGCTGTATTACTTGCCCGCAATAAAGCAAGTTTCTATTTAACCAATCCCGCTTATAATTTAGCCCACAGCCAAAACTTGTGCGTGTTTGCCCGCTCTTCTTGGGCAAACTTTAGCACTCTCAATACCACGCGGTGGCTTTCTCCTAGTTTGTTTTGTTAACCGTTTTATTACACTGCACGGGATTGAGGTCTCACATACCCCCATCCGCTTTTCTTATTTCTAAGCGAGATGATTTGTGACGGGTTGCGGCGAAGGGCGCACCGTGAACTTGGTTTAGTAAGACAAAAGGCTTGTTAAATGTTCATGGGAAGTCGTCTTTTAAACTTTGACTATACAAAGGGGAGCTTCTTATATTAATAACGCTTAACGGTTCATTACAACTGATACAAGAAAAATACTTTTATGATGTTCGCTGATGTTGGTATATCTGTCTCAAATTCACATCTCAGTATTGACTTTCAGGCTATGTATGACATAATAATAATAAAAACTCTATCGAACTTTGATTCCTTTTTTACAAGTATACAAAATCGCTTAAAATACGATAAATGCTTTTAACCGTATAAGTTGTACAAAGTACGCACCAGGGACTTCCTTTCTAGGGTATACCTGGTTCCCCGGCTATTAGTACCCGAGACGGCGTGCGATTTTAGTCGGTTCGAGTCTGACATGCCACCGATAAGTGGTATCCGAGGGGATAAAAAAAAAGAAAAAGGTGTACAAAGTAGACGCTGCCTTCCAAACTAGGTATTCCTGTAACTTTTAAGACAGTGTTGTGATGAATCGTTCACGGTATTTCTTTATACGTACTAGGTATTTTTCATTAATTTTGAAAGAGAATTACCATTTGTGGTACTGTTTTTTCTCACAGGCAGAGATAAAAATAATACCACTTTTTTTCATTATTTTTAAGTCACTTCCATCGGAATGATAAATTTTAATGGGGGTTTTCTTTTTCAAACTCATAAGATATGAAATTGCTTTTGAGTTTTATATTTGCCAGACAAAACTGCAAATTATTGCCATATCCAAAAGAAAAAGTATGATGGAATATGGAAGAGTTAATTCTTTTGTGTAGTTGTTTTCTTTAGTTTCTTACATCACATATCATCAAGACACTTTTTGCTACGCACAACTAATCTGTGGAACAAGTTATCGTCTCTGGTATTTCCGGACCGCTATGATCTTCAAGCCTTCAAGAAAAAGGAGCACTCTTCTTCATAAAAGGGTGTTCATGGGCGACAACAGTCACTTTCCATCAGGTAACCCGCCTGCTCGTTTGCCCCCTCTTCCATAAAAGAAATACATGACTTAAAAGGACCTAAATATTTCACGCAATAGTTGTATCATTAGGTTATCTATACTTTTAAAGTGATTTGATGTTGTAGCGATGTTGTAGTACTTAATAATGATTTTATAGATTTCTATATGTATTACTTTACTTCAGTTTCATAACGATCCAAAAGTTGGTAATAGAAAATTAAATAAAAGCCTTGAAGTTAATTTAAACCCCGAGTTAAGTTATTAAAATAAGCAAGACAACACTACAAAGAGCCACAAACGCTATACCAACCCGTCTGGCCAACGTTGTACAGTACGCTAAAACCTCCTTTCTAATAAGAGAGGCCTATGTCCAGCAGTGGACTATTAAAGGCTGTTAATGATGCCGATGACGAATTAATATGATTTTTATATGATCACTAAATTGTAGTAACAAATTTAGTTGAGGAACTAGCTGAGCCCACAGCTCTGCTCACTTTAATTAAATTTCATTAAATCGTTAAAATAGTTTTACAATAGAAAAATCAACAAGCAGAGCTGAGTGCACAACACAGTCAACGCATGCGATACTGTTGCCGCCTACTCTACGTAATACAGTGGCTACAGGGTTTGCATTACCGTACCGGGTTCCGGTGTTGCACGCGGTCCATCGCCGCGTGCTCTTTTTTAGTCTGATATGAGACCAGACCAGATAAGTACGAGTTTATTTCACTTCTAATCGATGACCGGTGATCACGGTGACCGCGTTCGGTGCTACGATTGGCCCGCACTGAAATCTCCACCAATCGCAACACTTAATGCCCTTGCCGTCGAGAGCGAGTCGAGGAATGAACTTGCACTCGGCCCTCTGTGTCGATGAAGAATGCATACCCGCTTGCACTTTGTTACGCCTATCGCATTTGCCTGTTTTTCAGTCAGTGTAAAATATTTTTCCTTCCAAACTATTCTGCATTGTGCTTAATGATTGTGCTTATTGTTTTAGAATAGTGTGTAACAGAACTGTAAAACAAGTAATTAACATTTTTATTACATTACGAAAAGTGATTTTATGACGAGAATCCACCTACGGGTAACCACAACTATTTTGTGTAGAAAACTGACACCAATAAAAAATGTGGGCTTGTCATGAATCATTAATCATTCATACCTTGTGCTTTCGGATCAGCCTTAGTCAATAGCTCGTTACCCCATTTCTAACCTTACACGTCCTACGAGCTTCCTTCTCTATCTTCGGCATTCTTTCTAATCTTTGTTTTGTCACGAGTCCTATATTCATTCTTCTGCGTCCCCAAAGCTTAATTAAATAACCATCCAGATACCGCTATTAGGCCCGAAAACTGTCGAGCTTTCTTGCGTGAAATCGGGTGTTGTAATAACACTGTCTAATAGTATGATAATAGTGGAAATAACAATTACGACCTCTATTCTACATAGCATTTAAATACTATTCAGATAATATAAATGAACATTACCGAGAGGCGTAGTATTATTCCATTTTATGTGCGGACTTTCTAGCTCAAAGAGTACTCAATGACTAAAAATATTTGTTTAAGCCTCTTGAAATTCTAGGTGTTAATGTAGTCAATAAGTGGTATTTTAAATTGAGTTAAGATATGAAAATAAACTTGCACTCGGCTTTGCTTTGCCTATCGCGTTTGCTTGTTTTTCAGTCTGCGTAAAATTTCTATACTTTTTTTTATGTTAGATTGGGCAGACGAGCAGACGGACGCCATGAACGTTTGCAACTCAGGACACAAACGCGTTGCCGGCCTTTTAGGAAGGAGTAGGCTCTTTTCTTGAAGGTTTGAGTAGGTCTTGAAGGTAGTATCGGTCCGGAAATACCGCAGAGGATAACCCGTTCCACAGATTGGTTGTGCGGGGCAAAAAGTGTCTCGAAAAGCGCACAGTAGTGGAGCGCCAACTATCCTTCCGAACTATTCTGCATTGTGCTTATTGTTTTAGTACAGTGTGTGACAAAACTGTAAAACTGTTTTCCATCTATTAGGAAATAAGTATACAATTTGTAATGTCTCTCTAATTGGTTCTAGGATCTCTTCTACAATCTTTTACTTTTTTAAATATTCGTCATAATATTTGTGAGGTTTATAATTTGATAACATGGCACTGATTGTAAAGCGATTACACCTTAACACGTCAAACACAATAATTTTTGCGCCTACGGTATAATATTTCTACACCAACCGAAGGTTGAATTTTTTCAAATTGTGGGTACCCCTTCAAACACAAGTTTTTATAGTTTTGATAAGTACTCGGTATATTATGTTTATTTATTCTTATGTTAACACACATGATACACAATACCCTTGCAAATTTTTAAATAGATTAAAATGATTAATATGTTGTTAGAAATATTTAATCTAATAAGAACATGGCCTGGCCTCGCACAAGATAATATTTTTATTAACATTTGTACTTTACAGGAACGTAATTAAAGGATATAGCAAGACCCAAACTGTTTTATTAGTAATGAATATCACTTCACTAATTTTATTATTTTATGTCAAAGTTCCATGTGTTTAATGTTACCTAAACAAATAATTTATAATACAAAGTTATTTCACTGTACTGTACATATACCTTATTTTATTTTGAAAATGATTGATAGATAAAAAATCTGTCTCAATACCTAAAACAAAATCCAATTTCCAAAGTGAAACTTAATATCTTTGAATAATACTTGGCCAATCTGTAACCAGTAGCGGTAATTTGAGATGCAGTGTCAGGGTTTTGATAAATATTTATTTCTTTAAATTCCTATTTAAGATTTTGATATAAAAGTAGACGAACTGAAAAATAACTGCGATGGTCACTTTTCATCAGGTGACCCGTCTGCTTGTCTGACCCCCGCTAACATAAAAAAAAAAACGTTTTTTTAAAAGCATTAATGTCTTGCTACTTTTGTAAATAATACCTAAATCCTAGAACGCACATATAATCCAAGTGGCTTGGTGAGATCGTGTTTTTCAAGTTGGATATCAAATTATTCATATAGCTCTATACGTGAAGACTTGGAATAGTCCGTGTGGTGACGGATTAAGAATACAAATTGTCACCACCCCAATCCATCCCGTGGGTGTCGTAAGAGCCGACTAAGGGAGCAAACTAAGCAGGACAACAGGACTGCAAAGAGAAGGAAAACTTGAAACAAACCCTATACCAACCCGTCTGGCCAGCGTGGTATAGTAGGCCAAAACCTCCTTTCTAAGGAGAGGCCTATGTCCAGCAGTGGACTAGTATAGGCTGTTGATGATGATGATGATGAAATCCTAGAACGCACATATAATCCAAGTGGCTTGGTGAGATCGTGTTTTTCAAGTTGGATATCAAATTATTCATATAGCTCTATACGTGAAGACTTGGAATTGGCTTTCAGGTGACTATTTAATTATAAGTTGTATCGTCCTTAACATTGGTATGGTGGTAAATGTCATGGCTTTGTAGAAATAATGGGGAATATTTTACACGTATATGGTACTTACCTATCTGTCGTATTGTATGGTGAACCCGCATATTGACTGATAGATGCCAATTCGACTCCTCCTCTATATATAGACACTAGAGCTAAGTCTAGTGTTTTACTCTGAAACAAACAAACAACATCATTTTAAATTGTTTCCAACAATAGGGTAATAAATAACACCCTGTATCTCCGGTTCCCGGGGCGAACTCGGTCGTTTTAGAATATTTGGTTAAGAAATTTTTATTTTTTCATTCATATATTTGGTATTACATATGTTTTATTTAGCCTTAATTTGAAGTGGAGGTTATTTTGGAAATCTGGAAAAAGTCACTAATACAACATAACTGATGATAGGAAGGCCTACCTTCGTAGAGAAAAATAGCAAAGAAATTGATGAATAGTGTACTTCATCTCTGCAGCAACAGCTCAATATCTGATCTCACAGTCTTAAACCATTTAAGATAAATAACAGAATCAAAACATGCATGAAAACAGAACCTAAAATCGAAATCATACAAATTGTCCTAATAGGATAAAGAATATACCAAAACGACTGGAATAAATTCATAAAACTTGAAGATGAATATCCAAAAACTAATATAATAACAATTGGAGCAATTCAACCTTAACTTTTACGGATACAGTTCGTTTAACTATGGTATAAAGTAGCAGGTTAGTAAGTGTCTATATTTTCTCATATTAATATTTTCGCATCTCTTTGGAATTTTGCTCCACCTTGTTAAACAAAGTTGACAAAGTAGAAAGACATACGAGCGGAGACTTGGGATTTAGGAGTACAAATTGTGACCTCAAATTAAAGCTTTGCAAACTTTGGTACAATTTTTTTAATGAATTTTACCTTTATTTTAACATACGTTCGTTTTATTTTATTTGAAGAAAAAGAAGTTACAAACCATGTGTAATTTTATAGTATGATACGAGTATACATATATGTATGATTTTATGAACTTACGAAACTGTGTTGATTCAGATGAAAATAAATTTGTAATGTAACACACTATATACACTGTTGTTCACTATCCAGAATGTCAGCATAATAGGCATAAAAGACACTTATGACTTGTATGAAATCCTTTTTATTTTTACAAAGAACTAACTGTAATGTGGGTACATTATGGTTGTGTGGAGGAACGGGTGTCATGTCCCTCCAACACAAAGGGAGGATCCTCCGACCAGGCGAGGTGATCATGCCTGGCGGGCTGCGGCCCCAACGGTTGATGTTGGGAAGTTGTATATATGCTAATCGGCGAGGGAATTCTTTATATCGCGATACAGGATTAGCAATTCTTATTTTAGTAGTTACTCCGTAGTTCGGTGTGTCTTCATTAGATGGCGCTGTAGTATGTTTCTGTTTCTTTGTATGTGGGAGTCGCCACGGTTGCATTTATGAAAAATAAATAATAAAACTGATGCAAATAATAAATAAATATAACGTTTAAAGTCATTTGCATATCGTGTCCAAATTTGGAGCTCAACCAACTCTTTTTTTACAGTATAGAGGGCAAACGGTCAGACGGACCTGATGGTAAGTGACTTTGTTTTTTAACGTGTGGAAGCCCCCTTGGGCTGCACTCCACCAGGGTTTGCAGCGGGGAGGTGTGTGGGGATCGAACCGACGAAAACCTCCGGGTATGTCCGCGCCTGACTGCCGCAGCCCATGGAGACCTGCAACTCAGGAGTCACAAGTGCGTCGCTATCCTTTCAGTCTCTCCTCCAGAATCAGAGGGAAAGGAAGGGTTTGGCCTTCGGCAACCTCACCCACTCCTTGAAAGCAATATAAGAACTGTTTAATCTCTCCGGTCGAGCCCATATTTGATGAAGCATGGCTCTCCAAGGAGAGAACATTTTTTTAAATACCATCTAGATATTTAATGAGAAACAATCAGAGTTACGTGTTATGCTTTTATTTTATTTTATAAAATAAACCTACTGATAATAAATTCAGTTTTATTTAACCTAAACCAGCTTTTCCCTGCGGCTCCGTCTGCATGTATGTCGGTTATCGCGTTAAATGTAGCCTCGCTGTAATTTTCTTTCATTACCTTTTTAACCATATGCACGGACTGACTGCACGGATGGCGTTTAAAAGCGGTCGCCATCCACTTTCTATTACGCTGAGTGTTGTGGATTCCATCCCCACATGAGACGACACTTTGTGTGATCCACAAATTGTTGTTCTGAGTCTGGTTGTTCTTTGTGTCCTTTTCATGTATGTTTGTAAAGTCCGTCCCATCGTAGTCCTATCGTATATATCATGGAGAGTGCCCGAGGAATTGTTCGGACTAATACCGGCCGTAACTTTGGGCCATCGTCCACACGGCACAACTTTCATCCCCACCACTTGGGTAATTGGCACTCCACCACTGTGCGCTCTTCAAAACACTTTTTGCCTCGCACTACCAACCTGTAGAACAAGTTATTGTCTGCGGTATTTCCGTACCGACACGACCTTCAAACCTTCAAGAAAAGAGCGTATTCCTTCCTCAAAAACCTAAGTTCTCCTCTAACCTAAAACTCCTAAGTTCTAGGCGTTCATGGGTGGCGGTAGTCGCTTTTCATCTCCTTCCATCAAATCCATCTCTTCCATAAAAAAAAAAAACATAATGTCTACAAATTTTTATAATTTACGTCGTTTTAACTATTAACGCCCTTTAAAACTATTAAGAACTATATTTATTGCGTAGTTATAGAACAAATTGTGAAATAAACATCTTTATTTATGCTTGTACTCAAAATACAATGTCTTAGTTAGCTCATTCCCTTGAGTGAGACTGTAACTCCTTAACTCAACCGCAGGATATATGTATGAACATAGTTAGTATCTACATGTAAAGAGGTTTAAAGCAGCCTGAAACTTTGCCACATAGTTGTGGAAACTTTCAAGGTTTACTTAACATGCGAACTAGCGTTACCAAGATACACTGTTAGTATAAATCTATCAGACTTATTATATACAAATAATACAGAAATGATATAATTATGTTAATGAGCAAACTGTTTATTTTCATAATTTTTATAAATTCTAATGTGCGACTCTTAAAGTATCTGGTTTCTTGGATAGATCTTAGATATTTCTGAATCCTTTAAATGGTCCTTTTTATATTAGAGGGGGCAGACGAGCAGATGGTCACCTGATGGAAAGTGACTATCGCCGCCCATGAACGTCTGCAACTCAGGAATCACAAACGCGTTGCCGGCCTTTTAGGATGGAGTAGGCTCTTTTCTTGAAGGTTTGAAGGTGGTATCGGTCCGGAAATACCGCAGACGATAACCTCTTCCACAGATTGGTTGTGGGAGGCAAAAAGTGTCTTGAAATGCGCACAGTAGGTGAGCGCCAACTATCCTGGTGATGGGGATGAAAATTTTGCCGTGTGGAACGATAGCGGAAAGTTGGATCCATGGATACCTCCATGGAGATGGACCCTCAATTATTTTTTTGTGCGGAAACCCCTTGGCATCCCCTTCCCCTCCCCTCTTCGACCGGATCATTGATGGGAGGGGGTTATGTCAGACTCGCACCAACAAAAAACCGCACGCTCTCTCGAGTACCAGTAGCCGAGGAAACTGGTAGAACGTATCAAAGAACACCCTGGCACCTCAACGAAGTTCATAGACACCTGTAGGACAAGTCACAAGTGTGTTACCAGCTTATCAGTGTCATACGAGAATAAGTGAGGAGGACCTCTTACACTCCGTGGAATTCAGAGAATGACTTAACACTGGTTCTGAGAAGGTATGACACAACTCAGATATGATACCAATTGCGTCCAAGCATAGCTCCCACAGTGTGAACTACTAATGATAACCATTGTTCTTAATAACAATGCTATTATATACATACAAGAGGTAGATACGCCACCAACGCACAAAACGCGAGGGTCCTAATTGGAACCACTGCGAGCGAGCACACGTACTAATTAATTCGAGAAAATTCATAAAATGCCTTCCTGTGTATTCTGAAAGTGCACAAATTACGACAATAAGGTAAATAAAGATAAAGGAATATCATACCACAGGTAAGTGTATGTTTTGTTGTAAAATTTATTAATAAACTAGCTGACCCGGCAAACGTTGTATTGCAAAACAAAAAGAAAATAGGGATAGGTCACCCTTACCATTTAGGGGTATGAAAGATAGATGTTGGCCGATTCTCAGACCTATCCGATGAAAAATTTCATGAGAATCGGTCAAGCCGTTTCGGAGGAGTACGGGAACGAACATTGTGACACGAGAATTTTATATATAAGATGTATGTACGGTTACGAAACAAATATTTTGAGCGTGTAGTATGAATATAACGTGTCTTCCTTAAAATATCATTGCTTACTAAACTTAAACAAACATGTCTATTCAACACCTAATCCTTTTACAATAACCTGATAAGATTACTTATAATATTACACATAAAACCCTAATCCATGCCTTTATTGAACTTAGAATAATAAGAGCAAACTATCCCATAAAGTTTTATGGCGATATCACCTGTTCAATATGATAAACCAATAGTAACCTTATTAACTGTAACATTAGATCGTTATTGGATATTCACTGGTTATTATACGTCTCAGAATAAGGTGAAAATATATTCACATATTCACACGTTTGCAATCTGATTGAGGTACGTGTAACTTACTACATTATCATAAAACTTTATATTGGGTTATAGAGTTATTCAACTGAAAAATATTGGAGTTATAAAGTTTGAGGTGTCTCTTCGAAAGGCGAGTGATATTGTACTTAATGCATATCTATACAAATAAATAAAACTGAAGTGTCTGTTTGTAATGTTAAAATAGTAGGTTTTTTTCATGCTCACATGGTTATTTTCATGATACCTATGCCTAAAAACCACTAATATTCTAAACGGTTGAATAGATTTTGATAATATTTTACTATCAGATAGCTAAGGAGTATCTTAGGCTTATCTTTTTAACCGACTTCAAATAGGCGGAGGTTGTCAATTCGGATGTTTATACTTTTTTATGCATACCTATGTATGCATAAAAATATAAACATATAATATATGGACGGATTTTCAAACTTATCTTCTTGTTCAAAAGGGGTTTAATCCGAAATGGTCCCATTTAGATTTCACATAG